TTTTTTTTTTAAAGAACCTTTGTAACTTGACTGGCAAATTTATTTTTAGCCATCAAACACTGCTAACAGAATCAACAGTTACAGTTGCTGTAAATCTGAGCAGTCGTCTTGAGATCTTTTTTTTTTTAATTGTTGAAAAAATTTCACAGTTTTTGATCTAAAATTTTAACCAATTTTATCAAGTAATATTTTTTTTCTAACATCTGTTTGTTATTTTTTAATTTTATTTATCCAAATAGTCAGCAAACAACTTTCAAATACTCTGAAATAAAGCATTAATAAAAGATAATATAAATTAAACCATTTTACAGTTTAGCAAACTAGTTATTACTATTTTAAAACTATCAGTATAAAAATACTTTATTGTTTAAACCGTAAATCAGTTAACAACAACAACTTAGTGTCAAATTCTTACAACTTTCTGTTTTTTTAATTTGCTAAAAAGCTTTAAAATTCTTGTTTTAATCTCTTCTTTTTTTTATTTTTCACTTTTCTCATCTTTTTGATATAAATTTTATTATTGTTTTTTTTCAATAACCAGCTATTTTTTAACAGTTTTGTTGTTAATAATATCTGCTTTTATTCTATAATACTTTAAGGTAAGCATCTGTTGTTATAGAAAAAAAACCTTAACATAGCATTGAACAAAAGCTACATTATTCTGCAGTTATATGAGCACTAAAAATCTGAAATTACGAACGTAACAGAACACTTCTTTAATCTTTTTTTGCAGGCGAATGCTTCAAAGAACGACTGAATATCAAAGATTACCGAAAATATTTTAACAAAATTTTTAAAAATATATCATTTTCACCAAAAATTTTTTGTTAAAAATACCTGATAAATGTCTGCAAATTGAACTTAGTCAAATAATGCTTTTTGATGCAGATACAGTTAACAGATAAGTTGATTCAATTAAAAAATTATCAAGTTGAATTCAAACAACTGATCTCCTTTTTATTGTTTCAGATTAGTCTCTGACTGTCACAATATTTTTCTTGATCAGTGTTACAGTTTACTCTTTCGTCTTTTGGTATTTGAATAATTTATTTGTTTCAGTGTATAAAAAAGTTGCAATGCTTGTCAACAATTAAAAATAATTGAAATATGAGGTGAATAAGTAAGTCAAGGTAGTAGGTCGTTGAAATCTTCTGCATGATCACTGTGATTATCAGATTAGGTTCTTGAAGATTTCACTGAACCAAAATATATTTGCCATTGTAATGCTTTATAAAAAAACGCAAAAATATTTAAAATTGATCGCATTATCAGTTCGAAATACTGCTGTCTTTTCCAGTAAGTATTTTTTATTATCTATAAGTTCTGAGCTAATTGCTCTTTTATTATCAGAAAATTTATCTAGATTTTTTTTCTTATTGTTCTGTCAAGCCTAAAAGCACCGAAGAAAAAAGGGCAGTGAAAACGAACAGCACAAGTTAACCAACAGTTCATAATTTTTAACAAGTCATAGCTTTTTCGACTAATCAATGCGCTTGTCGAGGTCAATGACAACTTTAGAGACTCATTTTTCTAACCTCTACTTGTGGCACTGTTTTAACAATAACAGGTGAAGACATGTAAAAAGCACATAAAAATGAGCATCATTTTTATTACTATTTTAGTTTCTTGGCTTTCCGAACAAGCTTACCATACTTTTGAACCTAAAGATGTAGTTGAGGTGAAGACAGAACGAATTATGATAAAGATGACGCCGGCTGAAATTTGTTCTCGTCCTGAGCCTACCAAAAAAATAGTGATCAGTCGACCTAAGGCAACCCGAGATCGTTCAGTTTCAAAATTCCGCTAAATAAGCTATCGGCAAACTTATATTTTGCTGAAAAAATAGAAAAATTTTTTAATTGTTTTAAAATTGTGGTGTTTTAAAAAAGAAAAAGTCTGCCAACTTTACCCAAATAATGCAGTATAGCGGTGATCAGTTTATCAGAACCTAACAAACAAATAAATTGAAAAAAAAAATGATTTAAACAATATTATTAAAGGTTAGGCTTTTAAAAATTATGATTTCAAACATAACCACTTTGGCTTTGAAACAATATTCTTTTCTATACTTTCAAGCTCTTTCATCTCTGTAACGCTGTTCACTAATTATGAGGCAAAATTCTACAGCAATCATCGCCTTAGTGGTTCAAGTAAATTTTTTGAGTTAGGCTTGAGAAGACGAGTTATTCAAGCAAAGTCTGCTAAAAGCTTAACCTAATCGGCTGTCTCATAGAAGATTGTACTTGCATAAACTAAAATTTTCAAATTATTTGTTAAAAATTTGCAAAAAACAAATTTTGCAGCATTTCCCTAAGACTTTTCCACTGAGATTACAGAAAACAAATTACTTATGAACTGTCTATAGTGTTTAGTATTGCTGAAATATTTTGCAGTTGCTTAATATGTCTTTCTCAATGTAATTATTAAAAAAAAAGCATTTATTTACCAAAATGCTGTGCAATTCTGCATAAACAAAGATGATATTCTATGGCAACGCATAAATGCTTTTTTTTT